GGAGGGGGAGGAGGAGAAGGAGGAGAAGGAGGAGGAGGAAAAATTGAAAAATGAGAAGAAGAAGAAGAAAATAAAGAGAAAGATAAGAAAAGAATCAGATATAAATTGAGAAGGAGGAGAAAAATAAATAGGAAATGAGAAGATGGAAATAAAGAGAAAAATAAGAAAAGAAACAGATGAAAATTGAGGAGAGGGAGAGAAAAGAGAAAATGATGACAAGAGAATTGGGAGAAAAATGATAAGAGAAGGATGACGTATTTTAGGAAGAGAGAAATAAATAGAAAGCAATGAGAGGAAAATAAGGAAAAAGATTAAATACAAAAGAGGGAAACATTTGAGGGGAAGTAGGAGTAGATGAAAAGAGGGGATGAAAAGTGGAGAATAAAGAGAAAGAGGGGAGGAGAAGGAAGCGAATGTAAGGAGGGGAAAATAGGGAAAAGAGAAATGAGTAGTAGAGGATGAAGAGGGAGGAAAATGATATTTAGTGGTTGAGAAAGAGGAGGAGAAATTTGAATAAAAAAGGAGTAGTTGGAGTAAAGGAGAAGAGGAAGAGGTACATTAGAGGAACAGAGAAAGAAAATGAGGAAGAAGGTGTAGAAATAAACATAAATAAACAGAGAGGTTGGAGTAAAAGAAAGAGTATTACTGGAAGTAAGAGGATATAATGTAGGTAAAGACAGAGTGTGTGCAGAAACTGACAAATAAAAGTAAGAGGTGGTAAAACAGAGGTAGTTGGATGAAAAGAGAAATTAGAGGGTGGAATTAAAAAAGAAAGAAAAAGAAAGATAAAAACGAATATGGAAGATGAGAAGAATTTTTAAGAATAAAAGCTTGTCTGCTTCTGAGTAAAATGAGATAATGAGTAATTGTGTTTGATATCTGTGTCACTCATTCATAGCACATCAGAAAATGTTGTCTGCTGATTCTCTCAATCACTTTTCACTCTTATAATTTCTTCATTTCTCTTTTTACTCTTCCAAATTTGCCATCTTTTTTCTTTTGTTTCTATATTCTTGTGTCTGTTGTTTTTCATCTTTCTTTATTTAGATCAATAATTCTGTGACCTGGCAAAGTTATTAGTTGAATTTTGATCTGGAATTTTCACTGTATAAAGTTTGATCTTTCTGGTCTATGGAGGAGTGTTGACAAGAAAGAAATAACTGTGAAAAATAAATATTTGTTATGTAAAATAAATGTTTTTTCATCTTTAATATACAGATATATAGACAAACCTGGGTATATTGCTTTGTTGATATTCTTTTTTTATTCTTTTTTGTCATTATCTTGAAAATTATTTCAGATTTCTCCCTCTTTATATTTATGTTTTATTTCTAGTCTCTGCCTGTTTGTTATCAGTTTTATATTCAACTGTATTTGTTTTATTTTCCTTGTTATAAATATTTTTTTCCTTTTTCTTTTAAGTCATCTTTTTTCTCATTTAATTTGCTCTTTCAGTTTTTGCTCTTTCTTTTCTATTTTTCTTTATTTTTATTTTTCGGTTTTTCCTCTTTTTTTTCCTTTCCTTTCTTTTTATTTTTGTTTCTTATTTCTTGTTTTTCATCTTTTCTTTTCTTTACTTTCTTTTTATCTTAATTTTTCTGTTTTTCATCTTTTCTTTCCTTTCTCTTTATTTTTGTTTATTTTTCTATTTTTCATCTTTTCTTTCTATTTTTGTTTATTTTTCATTTTTTTGATTTTTTCATCTTCCCTATCTTTTTTTTCTTTTCCATCTTCCTTTTCCTTTCTTTTTACTTTTGTTTATTCTTTCTTTTCTATTTTTCATTTCTCCTTTGTTTTCTTTTTTGTTTAATCTCTTTCAGTTTTTCTTTCTTTTTCGTTTTATTAGTTCCTTTTCTACTTTTCATCTTTTTCCTTTCTTTTCATTTTGGTTTTTCCTTTTTTTTCCAATTGTTTTTATTTTAGTTTATTCTTTTTCCAATTTTCCATCATTTTCTTTCTTTTAATTTTTTTTATTTTTCTATATTTTGTTAGTTCATTTTTATCTTTTCTTTCTCTTTTTGTTTCTTTTTATTTTTTCATCTTTTATTTTCTTTCTTTTGATTTCTGCTTATTCTTTCTTTTTCTTTTTTTTATCTTATCTGTTGTTTTTATTTTTGTTTATTTTCTTCAAATTTTCATTCTTTCTTTTCAGTTTTGTTTATTCCTTCTTTATCTATTTTTCGTTCTTTCTTCTTTTGTTTTCATTTTTTATTTCCCTATTTTCATCTCTACTTTGCTTTTATTTTTATTAAATATTTCTTCATAATATTTTCTTTTTAGCTTCATATTTTCCTTTATACCTTTTAATTTCTTACTGATTTAAAAAAAAATATCTGCTTAGTTTCATTTCATCCTCTATTGCTATTTCCATGCCAAATGTTTAGATGTCCTCCATTCTTTAGTTTCCCCAGTTCTGACCTTTCCAGCTGGGACATAAATTGCTACTTCCACAGAGTCAAATCATCCTCATTTTCCCCATGTTCTAAATTTAAGAACGTTCTGATCAGCTTTTCCCCAAGAACTGCCACTTTCTGAAACAAACACCCACAGGATTGCTTCTCTAAACACTAAGATTATATTCTCAACAAGAAATCATCATTTTTCTTCTTTACCCTCATAATTTTCATTTCTTTCCACATTCTCTTCTATTCATTAGCAATAAAGAAAAGAGTAATGTAATATCAATCCTCTTATATGCCAGTGAATGCTGGACAATTTCCACTCAGATGCAAAGGAAGTTTGAGATAACAAAGATATGGATCCACTGAAGAATACTGAGAATACTATGGACAGAGCATTTGAGCAGCGAGGAAGTTGTAAGAAAAATGAAGACAAAAAAGATGCTTATACTTAGAATCAGAAAGTGTCAATTGAAATTTATCATGAGAAAAGAGTGCTTGGAGAATTTAACATTCATAGGGCATATTGAAGGCAAGAATGATGGACAAAAACAGCCAGTGACCTACATTTTTAATCAAATCACCCCAAGCAAGGCAATTATGCCACTAAGACACAAGAGGCTACTGGGAGTCAAAGAGAATGAAAAGACTTTAGAAAGAACCAGAAACCTAATCCTAAACAGGAAATAAGTTTATATAAATAAATAGCACTGTTAGGGATAGTAATTGAACAAACATTACTTAGTGCTACAAAGGATAGGAAGTTCAGGAGAACCATTATCACCCATGGAAGGGACATAATGCATAAAAAAAGTATCAGCTGTAACAGTCCTTGAGTTTCCAAGGTAAAGAGTTGTCTATTTTATTAATTTTTCATGAGTCTTTCTTCCATCCAAACAACATAGAGATAGAGGAAAGAATATAGCTGTTGTAACATACCTACAGGCAATATTCAGTATGTCCCCATTCCCATAAATATAGTAGTGAATACTGTATGTTGGTCTGCAATTGGAGATTCATTGTGGAATTCACTTGACTCACTTCTAACAATTAACTACTTTTTCTACGTGCCATTGGTGAATCTTATATGTGCTGTTCATATCCTAAGTATTATCATTCATTACCAACCTTCGTATGATTATCCTATTCAGTACAACAATAGCTATATGGCTAATTTGAATAACATCTTCTGGTGAAGTCTTTGTAGTCTAATAGGTAAAATGCTGTCATGGTAATTCAAGGCTCCCAGTGATATGAGATGCATGTTCAAATGTCATCAGAAGCTTATTCTTTATTTTTAAACCATGCCATAATAATAACCTGTGAATTGTGATGAAAAAAGTAGCAAAAATAAGATTAAATAAATACATGTCAAAAATGAATAATATGGATGATGATTCATCTTTAAAATTCAAAGCCTATTAAAATTTTTCTTAAATAACCTCATCAGATGAAGACTTTCATATAGATGTCATGCATGGTGCCAAAACCAGTTCAGAAATATCTAAACTGTCAGTTGTATACAACCGCTTTCTAAAATCAATGGTAAAAAAAGGCTTTGTGTGAATAAAGACTGAGGGTCTTGGCAAAGATCATCCTTCTTTGAACCTTGTGGACTGATGCTACAGAATCACAAAGAACTGTACCAAATAACAAAAACTGCATTACTTGAAGACTACCAAAAGCAGCAACAGCTAAAATGGAACTCAAAGAGAAAATAATAACATAATCAAGATGTTGACATTCCACACTACTTCAAATAAAAGGTTAGGAAGGAAACCCACATCAGTACTGGAAAAAGCAATAGCCCCTACTGGACTTGAGAAACCTGATTTCCTGGAAAAATTGTTTTAAGAGAAAGATTTAAATAATTTCAACCGACACCAGTACTGGCTGCTTGGTCAATGAATGCCAAATGTTTCCTTATAGTCTTTCTTACGTGTCTAAATCATTTCACTTCTTTCTCAAATCTTTAATTGTTTCCATCTCTTTGCAATTTTCTACGTAGTTGTTAGATCTCCAGTGATGTCAAAAAATATTTGGCATAGAAAATTATAAAAAGTAAAATTAATAGCTTATCCAAATATTGTTAATTAAAATTCAGTGATGTTCAAACTTCATGCCAGCAAAAAAAAACAGTGTGTCAAAAGGATGTTTTTCCTTTGACACTGCTATTATTTTAATTACCTTCAATCCTCAGCCATGTTTATTGTTTTAAAATAGGAATGATTATAATTCCAATAAAACCTAAACATATAAATATGAATTTATACATTTTCATTGTTCTTGAGAAGTGATAATCAAAATCTTCTAAAACTAATACAATATTTATCATTTACCAATTTATAAAGACAGAAATATGAAAGCCATTTTTTTTATTCTTGAATTTATAAACATTTACTAAATTATTAAAATATATGAACCAAATATAATAAAATGTTTTAATTTTAACTTTTAAATATACAAATAATATTGTAGGAATACTGCAAATAAACAATGAAAAATTGCTAAAGTCAACAATATTTTCTTGTTAAACAAATTGTGTATACATTTCAGTTATTTGGAGATTTAATGATTTAAGTCCGTGTTCCTCATCTAAATTCATTTTATATACAAGCAAGATAGATAGATAGATAGATTATTAAGAAACAGAGATAGATAGATAGATAGATAGATAGATAGATAGATAGATAGATAGATTATTAAGAAACAGAGATAGATAGATAGATAGATAGATAGATAGATAGATAGATAGATAGATAGATAGATAGATAGAGGGAGATTTAAACAGAGATAGATACTGAGCAGAGAGTTAGGTAAATAATAAACAAACAGATAATGAAAATAGACTGAAATAGATAGATAGATAGATAGATAGATAGATAGATAGATAGATAGATAGATACTGAATAGAGAGATAGATAAATAATGAAAAAAATATACAGATCATGAATAGAGACTGAGATAGATAGATAGATAGATAGATAGATAGATAATGAACAGATAGAGATTTGAAGAGACTGAAATAGACAGATACTGAACAGAGAGATAGGTAAATATTGAATAGAGAGATAATGAAAAGGGATAGATAGATAGATAGATAGATAGATAGATAGATAGATAGATAGGAAAATGTGAGAAGTATTTATTCAAATTCAACTGAACTATGGCATATTGTGAAAATTAAACTCACTACTGTAGTAATAGATTGTAAGCCTTTCTAACTACTACCCGAGAAAGGGGCAACCAAATACACTAAGGGAAATGTGAACAAACTGAGAGGTAGATGATCAGGAGCAAGATATGAACAGAGCCTGGGAAAGAAAGATAGGGAGAGGACTGACATTCTCCCTCTCACTCTCTCTCTCTAAAGGATATCAATATTAATGGAAGATAAGAAGGATTTTCAAATGTTACAGCTTCCAATCCACTACTGATGGTGAGATATATTAAGTGTTAATGTCCCTGGGAAAGGCATGTGGCTTTAAACTCCCATACATACAAACTGACAGAGAAATAGAGAAACGTGAGGAAGAATTTATTTGATACGCAGTTGGTAGGACTGGAAGCAAAGAACGAATACTGATCTATACAGAAGGAAATCATTAACCATGATACAAACACCAAAATCTCATCTGACAAAACATTTTATTGGCTAATCTTAAAATGATCATATTAACAGATAATGATAAAGATAACACACACATATATGAAAACACATATAGACACAGGCTTGCACACACACAAAGACATAGACAATTAGATTAAATGTACTGGAAAGACTTTCTTTAAAGGGACAGTGGAACTAGAAATATAATTATTTCTTTAAAAATAAGCTTCATCTTCTTTTTTAGACTTCCAGAAAAATGGTTTTTCATTTAATTTTTATCAGAATAAACTTAAGAAAATTTTTAAAATTATATTTTTCTCGGAATCTATATCTGCCTTTACACATTAGTGTGTGTGTATATATATATATATATATATATATATATATATATACGTGTATATATATATTTTTTCTTTTCTCATAATAATTCATCGAGTCTAGAACAAGAATCCTCAGCAGAATGCAGAAAGCACTAGACGGCTGTTTTGGCCTTTTTGAGACTTATCAGTGGCGCACTTCCACTACTGAGAATTGAACCCGGACCATTATGCTAGAATGCAAGCATCATACCACAGGGCCAGCAGGCCTCAGTGCCAAAGAGGAAACTAACTAGACTCAATATAGCACAATACAATGCTTTCTGCATTCTGTTGAGGATTCCTGTTCAAGACTTTGTTGAATTATTATGAGAAATTATTCAAGTCTCCAAAGATTTCTATCACACACATACACACGCACATATATGCATACATATACATATATATATATATATATATATATATATATATATATATATATATATATATATATATATATATATATATATATATATATATATATATATATATATATATATATATATATATATATATATATATATATATATATATATACATATATATATATATATATATATATATATATATATATATATATATATATATATATATATATATATATATATATATATATATATATATATATATATATATATATATATATATATATATATATATATATATATATATATATATATATATATATATATTATGGTATATATATATATGTGCATGTATATATATATGTATATATAGGAACAATTTATATATATATATATATATATATATATATATATATCCACACACATATATATATATATATATATATATATATATATATATATATATACATATACATATACACACACACATGTTGTTCAAAAATGTATTAATTTTGTGACTTCATCATCAGTTTTAATATTTATAAATATGCATATAATTCATTTAATATTTAATTTAAATGGTTAATCTTTTTTGTAAATCAATAAACATTAATATTTCTTAATTTTAACCATTAATCCTGTTAGGAAGTCAATGATCACTTCATTTAATATCATTTAATGAGTGAGACACCCTGTATATTTATATTTTAATGTCAAGATTCTCACTATAATATTAGGACTTTATTTAAATTTATGCCTAAATTATCATC